CCCAACAGGCACACGTCAGGCCTGGCCCCCGCCATCACGGGCGCGGCCGCAGCGCGCTGCCCCTCCGGGCGTCTCCAGCCGTCGCTTCAAGGTGTTTGGTTTTGGGTTTTTTTAATTTCATCATTTAAAAAAAAAAAATTGTGTGTTTTGACACCACTGCAGCAAAATGGTTCCCGAATCTCCCAAGTTCTCTGGGGGCCGCTATAGTACTTAAAATTATCTCCAGCCTAAACACATACGTGTTTGTTCACATGCCAACTGCGCTTCCCAGTACAACTTCCTTTATTTCTTTTCTGAAAGTACATCAGAGAAACCGCATCGCCTCTCAACTCGCCTAGGCTAGACGTGCTGAGGGGTTTTGGGGGTTTTCTAGTCTTCGTAAAGTAGTTTCATCATTAATCTCTCGTAAGCTGCTTAAAAATAATGATTGGCCACATCAGGAACCAAGGGTTTTTTAAACAAAACAACGGGATTTAGGAAGGATGTGACTTGAATTTCTTGAATGTCTGGATCTGGCATTTCTACTCAACATCCCATAGAAGGATGCTGTCCCGGCATTCTCCATGTACTTGGGGCTCAACAGCACAAGTTAGGGTTCATGAAGAAAGTTAGGTGGTTTTTTTTTTTCCATTTTGTGATTTTACTGCCTTCTGCTGGTCAAAAGATGATCAGACTTGAGTATAATCTTTTATAATCAGCACATGATTATGACATGGGATCTAAAATTAAGCTTCAGGACAAATACCAACAATAGACGTTTCCTGTATTTCGCGTTGGGTTTGGTTACGTAAACTCATGGATATATTTCACATAGTAGGGTCGATCAGTAAAGAAGATTGTAGGTATTAATGTGCAAAGCAGATGACATCTTGTTTCAGAGGTCTACCTAATGGCTTGAAGTGGGGATGCAGGAGGTGACCTTTCTAATCCTTCTGCCTTTCACCTCACTGCTTGCCCTTGCTAACAGCACTTCATTTCTGTGTTTCTATGAATTAATGATCACAATCCTCATCTCTCGTAGGAATCCTTCAGACTAAGAGCAAGCATCTCTGTATGGCAGAGTTATAGTAGCAACACTACCATGATAAAATTTAAAAAATCCTGAAGAATGGTCACATGTAGTTACTGTTGCTTTTCGAAACTGGAAAGGAGAGGCAATACACAGAAAGTGGCACACACACCATATATGTCTTTATGTTCCAAGCAAAGATAAAGATTTAAAAATAAAAACCATGCTGCTGTTTGTTCTAAACTCATGAAAGACTGTGGCCCCACAATAGTGGGTAATCTGTCAGAGCAGAAGGAAACAGGCCTCCTGCCTTCAGAATTTTATGACCTGTTTAAGGAATAATAGTTCTTTAAAGTTTCATCTTTACTTTTATTCTCAAAGACAAAGATGAATGTGCTTGTCTGTTTGCATATGGTCTCGAATATTGAGAGCTGAGTAGCTAATGTGGCTTGGATTTGGCTAAATGTTGAACAAAGGATTATTTGGTTGATCATCTGAAATGGCTATTCCCTTGCCTGAAATTAGTTGCCTGCACCTTCCTGCTCTGAAATTTAATAACCATGCCCTGATTTGATAGGCCACACAATATGCCATCTGGATATACATTGTAAATCCCTCAGGCAATCAGGTTATGAGAATGAAGATATTTATTTTCTGCTTTTTGCATCAGTCAGATCATGCAAAACAGAGCTCTGATTGCAAAATAATTACTCAGGCAACCATAAATAACTATCTGTAAAGAGGTAGTTTTCTTCACATTCACTAATTCCTATTTCTGTAGGACAGATTTGCAGAGGGAGTGGGAGAGAACATACTGCATTCAGCGAACTTCTAACAAATGTCACAG